TAGCAAGCTGGTTGCAAATTCTGTTGCAAGTAAGTATCGAACCAAGCTAGCCTCTAGGCTAGCTACCACTCCACCGAAAAGTATAGATGAGCATTGGTTGCATTAGCATGACGCCATGAAAATGGCGCAAGGAACTCCAACTCTTGAAGCGTTACAAATCACCTGGCACAGATGATTTACCTCCGGCTCTTTTTAAAGATGGTGGTGACTTTCTGACTAAGGAATTGACGACGTTGTTTACAAAGGTTTGGGAACTAGAGAGTGTAACAACGTCATGGAATGAGTCGATAGTTAGCCCTATCTTTAAAAAGGGTTCACGTCGTTCCTGTAACAACTATCGTAGGATAAGTCTACTTCCGATTGCGTCCAAGCTATTGGCTTCCGTCATACTTCGTAGGTTGTTCAAAACCCGAGAAAGATTGACTCGCGAGGAGCAAGCTGGGTTTCGTTCTGGTCGAGGATGTATTGATCATATCTTCACCCTCCGCCAAATGTTAGAACACCGCCATACTTTTCAAAGGCCAACAATCGTAGTGTTTCTTGACATCAGGGCTGCCTTCGATTCGTTGGACAGGGCTGTTCTCTGGGATTGTCTATTGAAGAAGGGTGTGCCTGAGAAGTTTATTAACATCCTAAATGCCCTATATAAAAACACCTCAGGCAGAGTGAGGGCATACAACCACCTTTCTCCATTGTTCCATTCGAGTAGTGGGGTTAGGCAGGGTTGCCCAATCTCACCATTCCTCTTCAACTTTGCCATCGATGACATTCTGGAAACAGCTCTGATGAATGTAAGTAATGGTGGTGTGGATCTGTTGCCTGGAGAAAGACTTCTCGACCTTGAGTATGCGGACGATATTGTCTTATTGTGCGATAATGCCCAAGCTATGCAATCCGCACTTAATCAGCTGGCAATCAGTGTCCGTAGGTATGGTATGTGCTTTGCACCTTCGAAGTGCAAAGTACTTCTACAAGACTGGCAGGATTCCAATCCTGTACTCACCCTGGATGGTGAGCAGATAGACGTAGTCGAGAAGTTCGTGTATCTGGGTAGCTGCATAAGTGCTGGCGGTGGCGTGAGTGATGAGATCAATGCACGAATAGTTAAAGCCAGAGCGGCTTATGCCAATCTGGGCCACCTTCGGCGCCTTCGTGATGTTAGTCTGGCTGTAAAAGGTCGGATCTACAACGCGTCAGTGAGAGCAGTTTTGCTCTATGCTTGTGAAACCTGGTCTCTCCGAGTTGAGGATGTTAGACGACTTTCCGTGTTCGATCATCGCTGTCTCCGAAGGATTGCTGACATCCAGTGGCAACACCATGTCAGTAATGCAGAGGTTCGGCATCGTGTGTTCGGGCACAGAGATGATAATGCAATCGATGTCACCATATTGAAACACCGACTTCGGTGGCTTGGACATGTTCTACGAATGTCCTCCCAGAGAATTCCACGTCGTGCATTATTTGCCCACTCTGGGACTGGTTGGGAAAAGCGGAGAGGTGGTCAGTGCATGACATGGTGTCGTGGCATGAAAGAAAGCTGCCAAGGACTGGCTTGTGTTGGTCCTTCACGACTCCCTGGTTGGGGTCTGAGAGATGGTGCAACACAGTGGCTAGAGACGTTATCAGATATGGCTCAGAATAGAAGCCAGTGGCGATCCTGCTGTAACCTTCTTTTACTTTCTTCATAAAAAGTGGTTGTGTCTCCCTTACCTGAAAGATTTCTTCCGATTGTACCTTTGCGTTCCCTCATTACTACCACACTACCTTACACCAATCTCTTCGTTATTGTTCTCTTTTTTTTCTATTTCTCTTCGAATTCTCATTGTTTTGTGTGGCGCATATATATTGGCGCTCTCTTGTACCAATATTTATGTGTTCAAATAAATTAATAAATAAATTACCCACTACCTAGCGGTGTTGTTTACGAAATTGAGAGGACGGAAAGCAAATGTCCGGCATCCTAACAGGGGTGGTGGACACGAAAGGTTCAACTAGGTGAGATAAAAAACCCTGATTCCAAACCAATGGTGCACATGGGCTCCAGGATCCCGAGGGAACAAATAACGTATGAACCAGTCGTCGATCACCCGACCGAAGCTGCTACCTTGACGCGGTGGTCGGGCTTGCCTATCGTGATGACCCAACAGAGCTATATTGGCTGGAACATATGTTCCTGTAGTTTCTACCATGCCAGGCAGGTCGATTGGAGAACGGTAAGACTAAAAGCAGCAACTCAAGATCGGAGGGCGAAGTCGTACTGCTGACTGTAGAGGGGTGTGACAGCAGTAAGGTGTTTCCCTCAGAAAACCAGCATCTGCAGCGATGCTGCTTTCCCACAAGGAGGGGTGGGGTTAGAAAAGGTCGACCCTAAAAATGTCACACCTCACCTTACCTCACGGATTTCCGTCTCCGGCGGTAAGGCCCTTTGAAGAACGGAGCTAACACATTAAAAGCCTTCAACGGAAAAGCCGTGCGCGACCGGCCTCAAGCAGTTGTCCCTTGGGCTTCGCGGTCACGCTCCCAGGTCGTTAAGACCAGCACTAATCCAATTTCCTTTTCAGGTTCCTCAAGAAATACCCTTCCACTGTGTGGGCAGCCTGAAAGTGATATCAGCCCTCATACCCGTAACAGCACACGAGACCAAGTTGGTCACATTCAAACCCTTCCTACACCTCCTAATACCTCTCTTATCTCCATGACTAACCCTCCTCACGTCTCTTTATCACCTCGCACCGCTAGGGCAAACGATTCGAGTACGCGGAACGCCCTACAATAGTAGTATTTCTCGGCCAGTATTAGCAATGAGATTAACCGAGGTCTTAGGTAGACTTTGGGAACTGAACGTAATCCCATCTGACTGGTCTCAATCACTGATTGTGCCAGCCTATAAGAAAGGACAAAGGTCCTCTTGTGACAATCACAGAATAATCAGTTTGACTAATATAGTGTCTAAAATATTAGCCTCAATAATACTTCGACGCCTAACCAAAGCTCGTGAAGAGCAGATTAGAGAAAATCAGGCTGTTTTTCGACCTGGATGTGGTTGTATAGACCAGATATTCACAATACGTCAGATTCTAGAACACAGACACACGTTCAGACGCCCCACAATCGTAGTATTTCTCGACTTTAGGGCGGCATTCGACTCTGTTGATCGTAAGGTTCTATGACAGTGCTTGTCACTGAAAGGAGTACCAAAGAAGTACATTAACCTTGTAAAGGCTCTTTATTCGAACACAACTGGTCGAGTGAGAGCTTATGGCGAACTGTCATCAGAATTGATTACCTCAAGTGGTGTTCGTCAGGGCTATCCACTCTCTCCATTCTTGTTCAACTTTGTCGTCGACGTACTTTTAGAGATGACACCTTCCTCGTCTAGATTTCCAGGGGTTGAACTTCTACTGGGAGGTTCACTTGTTGACTTAGAATATGCTGATGACATAGTTCTATTTGGTGAAGATGCTGACAAAATGCGGAGTCTTCTGACCACTCTAAGCAACAATGCAAGCATCTTCAGGATGCGATTCTCTCCCTCGAAATGCAAAATGTTGCTTCAGGATTGGGTTGCATTGACACCCGAACTAGTGATAGGGAGTGAAGTAGTTGAGCATATCGACTGCTTCACTTATCTTGGAAGTCTCATCAGCCCTTGTGGTCTGGTGTGTGACGAAATCTCAGCACGGATACAGAAGGCTCGACTAGCTTTTACCAACTTGCGTCATTTATGGCGTAGGTGAGATATCCGTCTACCAACCAAAGGACGTGTTTACTGTGCAGCAGTTCGTTCCGTCCTACTTTATGGCAGTGAAACATGGCCGGTAAGAGTAGAGGATATCCGTAGGTTACTAGTATTTGATCATAGGTGTCTTCGAAACATTGCTCGTATATCATGGGACCATGGAGTAAGTAACACAGTTGTTAGGAAACGGGTACTAGGTAAGGATGGCAAATCAATTGATGAAGTAGTGAAACTTCATCAGTTGAGATGGCTGGGACATGTGTTACGTATACCCAACGACCGACTGCCTCGATGTGCGATGTTTTTTTGTATAGGAGTAGGTTGGAAGGAGGCTAGGGGTGGTCAGACCAAAACATGGCACAAGTCCATGAAGTCACTGACAAGTGAACTGAGTCATGTTGGTAGGTGTAGACTACCTGGTTGGGGACCGCGAGATGATAGCAACCGATGGTTAGAGACCCTGAATGACATGGCTCAGAATCGTTTGCAATGGTGCAGGTGCATCCACTCTCTGTGTTCTCCCAAATTCTAATCTTCTGAATTCTTCATGTCCCTTTCTTTTTTTTATCTTTCCAAATTTATTTCACTGGATAATACTCCTTGAATAACATCTTCAAACCCTAATTTTTTCTGATTACAGCTTATAATTTCACTACATCTAGCACTACGGGATTTGGATCGACCACTGCATTTCTGTGCTAATGTGGTGTGGCAACTCGAACTGATGTACGTACGCACGAAGTTCTACGTTGTTACTGACTGACTGACTGACTGAATCGTCGGTCACCGGCTACCATAGGACCGCATCTCCTTACGTTGCTCCGCTGTCTTGTGGGTTATATCTTTAGGTCGAAGGCTCCGGATGTGGCCCCCTAATAAAGCACCTGCTTCCGTTTGGACACCCGGACAGTATCATAGCCCACACACAAATCAAGTGACTTGTGTGACTCATATATATTCGGCGCCCCTTTGTACCAATATTTATGAGTTCAAATAATTAAATAGATAAATAATAAGTTGGTAAAGACACGCAGTGAATAGGAATTAATACCATAAAGGAATTTTTTAACTAACTTGATTAAGTTAATTCTATAAACAGAGTAGATAAATAAAAACTAAAACGTTCAACAACTAGTTACATACAGAATTATAGCCTACAAATTTGACAGAATGACTGTCAAACACGTTGTAAATGTTGTAGTGATTCAGTTTAAAAATGCAAAAAGACTAAAGACCGTTAAATTAACACGAATTCGCATACCTTGTTACTGGATCTTCCTTAGCACCTCGTTCACGTACTGGTTTCTCACTACTAGATTGCTTAGGAACACAACCATTAACTGAAGGTTTAGAATTAGAGTAAAGGTTCACTGAATTCTCTGTGGTATATCGACGACTAATTTGCGATCCAGACGGACTTGACTCAAGGCACTGAACAGCTCGACGTAGACCAGCATCAACAACACAAGTATTTGATATTACTCCATTTACTATTGTAGTCGAGGAATGGTTAAAACGTGCAGTTCGACTGTAAGTATAGCATGTGAAATGATCGAAAATACTTAACAGAAAACATTTATCACATGAACTAGACATAGTCGTAAAGTTTAAATGCAATGCAAGGATACTTGTCTACCAATATGATATATATATATATATATATATATATATATATCATATTGGTAGACCTAGCAATGATAGAGAAAAAAGCTGCAAGAGAAGGCGAAACATGAGACAACCATACGATACGATGAAGTCAGATGGAAAATATGGTGAACGAAAGCAACCAACCAATAACAAAGTTAAAAATAAACGGTGAGATTCAAGAGCAACGGAATAGGAGAGCACAACACTATCAAGAGCTCTAAAACAGACCAGCCCAACAAAACCCCCTAGGAATCGAAGCAACACACGAAAACTTCCCTACAGATGTTATCGCACTAACAGTAGAAGAAACCAACATGGCCAAAAAAAGTCAAGAATGGTAAAGCAGCAAAACTGGACACCAGGCCAGATGGTGCATTGAATTCTGACATGGAAGATGCCCCAAGGTTTCTTCAGACAGATTTGCGAGGGAGAACAAGTCCCGACAAACTTCAAAGATAGATATCTCATCAAGCTACTGGAGAAACGAGATCTTAACACATGTGAGGGCAAGAGGCATAATAATATCAGTACCAGGAAGTTTTCAACGGTGTTGTTAAACCGAATGAAGGATTCAGTACATGTTCAACTTCTAGACAAACATGCTGGATTTTGTAAGGATCGACTATGCACCGGCCAAATGGCGACACAATCAATCGAATGAAACTCATCACTACGCACCAACTTACTTAAATATGGAAAAGCATTCGACAGAGTGGATAGGAGGACCTCATGGGACGTTCCTCGACACTATGATCTATCTGAGAAGATTGTCACAATCGTATGGAATTCTTACAACAGACTGCACTGCAACTTTGTGCATTGAGTGCGGTTCAAGAATGTATTCCAAGTGAAGACCAATGACAGACAAAGCTGCTCACTATCCCCCTTTCTCTTTCTTCTGGTAGTTAAGTTGATCATGAAGACCTCCATATCTGAGGGGAAGCACAGAATACAGTGGATAGCTTGGATGCAGATAGACTATTTGGACTTCACAGATGACCTAGCTTCTCTATCCCATTCACAGCAACAAATACAGGTGAAGACAGTCAAAGTAGTGTCAGTCTCCACAGCAGCAGGCCTCAACATTCACATGAGAAAAAGTAATATCCTAAAATATAAAGTGAAGACCAACCAAGTTAAACTTCATGGGGAAGCTCTGGAGGTGGAAACTTTCACGAACCTCAGCAGTATCACTGATAAGCAAGCGGGATGTGATGCAGGCGTTGAGGCACGGACTGACAAAGCAAGACCAACATTCATAAGATTGAAGGACATCTGCAACTCAAAAAACTGTCAGAATTTTCAATAAGAAAATCAAGACAGTACTATTGTACGGAGCTGATATTTTGAGAACTACTATAACCATCATAAAAAAGGTACATATATTTATAAACAGTTGTATACGCAAGATACTCTAGATGCGTTGATCAAACACCATCAGTAATAACCTACTCTATTACAGAACCCATCAGCAACCAGTTGAAGAAGAAATTAAGAAGAGACATTGGGGGTGTATGGGCCAAACTTTATGGAAACCATTGAGATCATGAACCGCTCGATGTCAGACCACCATTGAAAACGTGGAAGCACTGAACGGCTGCATCTTCATATTGTGGGACTCCCCAGCAGTGCGCATCCACGGTCCCGCTCACGAGATTCGAACCCAGGGCCTTCGGTCTCACACGCGAACACTTAACTTCTAGACCACTGGGCCGAAATCCATTCACTCTCAACAGTTGTTATACGTGCTCGACAGAAAAATGAACGGCTCAATTTGTCTGATGGAATTTCAAAATGTTAGGTCCAAAGAATAATATGCGTTATTGTTCCACGAATATTTTATAAACAATTTAAGATACACCAGTTGAAATACATTCCTTAATTCAAGCAGAGCATATAGCTTATAATATGGGATTTTAAAATACCAATGTGATAAAACAGGTAAAGCATACCTATCAAAATCCAAGTATTGTTTATCAACAGATCTGAGATAGCCGAAAAACCAACGAACTAAACGACCAAAACATAATTGACCAAAGCGAAAAGGTATGAATACCGATCGACTAGAAAAATCTGATGAGAACTAGTAAACAAAAAACAAGACATTCCGGAAAATGAAAAACACGACGATTAGCATTAAAAATAAAGTCTGATAATTGGAAATCTAATCAATCGAATATATCAATGAGAAGTGGTCGACAGATGACAGCTCACAACGAAATTCGTTGGATGCTAAAATGCTACACGAGTGTCCAGCAAAGCTCATCCTTCTACTGATAGATGAATACAAAAATATTTAACGCGAAATAAAAAATGACTACAAATTATGTCATGCGAACGTGATCACTGCAGTTTCTCAAATCATTTAGTGAATGTAAGCCTTGACTATCGAGTTTAGCGACTTGTATACGCACTTAATAACTGCCGCGCCAACGACATAGTGGAGAAATCCTACCAAAGATCTTCGAAGCTACTTCAAGTATTGAAGCTTCAATGTGTAGTTATGTAACAGAATACTTCAGTATTCAAACAAAAATACTAAGGTTTGTATTAGAATGCGAGTGACATTTTGACAATGTCAATCAAGTATACTTCATGTAGGAGCTGAAGACATTGTTTAGAATGACAATGGATGCTCTGCAACTAAGCCATTTGGGTCGGAAAACTCATAGTCACTAATAGAGTCCGTCTGAGCTACAAATTTTATTGATTATCTCAATGGTGCTGCTTTCTTGAAATTCTCCCAAAAACGAACATCGCGCGGCTGGTATTAGGTTTAGACAAAAGTCAGAACACTTCTCCTACCAGGCACTGACTTTATTACAATTGTCACGTAGGTTATCATTCAGCTAGTCATCAGCAACGTATAACCGGGTATGCATTTGCGTCGGCCCACTTTCCCGTACCACGTCAGCATAGTCGGGGGAAGTTACCAGGATGAATATAAAAGTGGTTGAAGTAGTTGCGGCAGTAATGGTAATAGTAGTAGTAGTAGTAGTAATATCAGTTGAAGTGAAAATATACTAGACATAGGGAATCATTTTTCAAAAAGAAACGGTTAGTTTGTGGAATCAAGAGTATGAAATAATTTTGAAACTCAAATTATATAACTATGGGTAAAATGGAAGAGCGTTTGAGCATCTCTTCTTAGAATGAGACCTTGAACTGTGATCGTATGAAACTCTAAGGATGAATGAGAACAATACCCGTTGATAAAAGACTCACTCAAGTTGCAAAGTGTGCGGAAAATAAACTCAACAATTACGAGAATGTGACAGTGAGACTCAAACTGATATAGCCTAGCTCCAAACTTAGTCTGCGATGAAATTAGTCGCAAGGACTGACAATAAAAATTTGCGGATATCATCAAGTGGTTACTAGTCGATCTTATTAGGCTAAGGGAGAGAGAACAAAGTAAGGCAATCAAGGTGCGCATCTTTCCAGATTTTGAAGGTAGTTGGTGCTAATATTGTGGTCCCATGTCTAATGACCAAGATGTCTTTGGGGGTCAACGTAACAATGGGAGTTTTCACATAATGAGTGGTAGAAGCATTGTCATTCGTTTGTGAGCAATGCAGGACCTGGTAACAATGCCCAATAGCATGTCAGCAAACTTCAGACTGGGGTAATAAGGGGAGACTATTGTTCGAGTCATGCAAGGATGTTATTTGCATCATTATGAAAAGAATCTACAGCCTGTTCAAGGAATAGTTTGGTAGTAAGCTACAATGGCTTAGGCGATATTTTACCATTCTTTTGAATTAAGTGACTTGTAGTCACACGGAGAAAGAACAGAAGTTAAACACCCACACAAAGATCATAGTGTAAACAATATCAATTTTTCAAAAACATGTTATTGACGGGAGAAGGAGCAAAAATGTGAAACTATGGAAACTGTTTTTGGCGGGATCAGTTTGTGTATATCCTGTATCTTAACTAAGGAAAGAGTTCGTAGTATTTGAATATTTTTCCGATTGAGAGCTATGATCTTACCGATAAGCTGTTGAGTTGCTTTCAACAGTTCGGAAATAACAGTTAGTGGACTATGTACCTATGACTCAACTTTTTGTGACAACTATCCGTATTGTATACCTATTGAGATTCGTTAGTCAGTGTTGTGGGCTTAAATTCTACGTCGTTAATCACGAGTTATCAGTCTAAAATAAAAGTAAAAGAAAAAAACATCAGGTACTTGGATGACGTTTTAGTGTTCTGATTGGTAACAAACAGACGATTTTGAAGAAAAGACCGTTGGTATACACAGCAAATGTCTAGGCACACTATAAATTATACGCTCAAAGAGAATTAGATCATGTTGAAAAAAGGTAAACAATGAACAAACCAGAAAATAGCACTTCTTTGAGAAGTCAGTGACTGTAGATCCAAACAATACCGGTAGGTTTAAACCTCCTAAAATGAATCCTCCATGAGGCGTAAATCAGAATTTTGTCACTGTAACATGGTAGTTGACGTATTGGCTAAAGCGTCACACTTTAGCAAGTGACTGAAACTACATAGTTAAGACCGAATTTGAACTTGATTTGTTTTCTCGGGTTTGCTGCCGCAGATCTCCATTTAGGCATCGAATGGTCATCAATGCTAATATGTTAGACAACAAATAAACTAAGCTGACTCTGTATTGTTATCATGAGGGAGTTTACTCCCCTTTTTATAAGATTGAAAAATGATAGAATTTTGTTTACCTACCAAACGTCAACTAATAATGAGTTATTATGGTTAGGGACCCACTCTTTAAGACAGTTAACATTGACTTATTAGGAACAAGTAATCCTCACTGCATAAAGTTGGCTATAGATTTTAAATTTCGTTGGTAGGTGGAGCTGATCACTTAAGACCTCTAGTCATTTTATCTTGTCATAAGCAGAATACTTATTCACGTAAATATTTAAATGATGTAAGTCTTGCTTATTCGTAGAGCATCATGATCAATTAGAGGTTGACAAACCATTGAAATATATAGCTGTATATAATCTGTATATTCAAAAATGTACTACGATATTAAAGGTAGATGAGTAATGAGGTTTAAAAAATGATATAAGAACTCACATCATCAGACATTGCAACTTCATGAACTTCTAGGGAATCCTTTTGAAAATAATCAAGACTATGTTGAACGTCTGATTCAAGTATGTTTGAATGTAACAGAAACTTACAAGCGTTATCGTTTACCGACGACAGTGGGAGAGCTTCATAAAGAATTCGAAAATGCAGGTAATTTTGCCTTCTAACATTCATTCTTTTAAACTAAACATCCTATATAAAGCTTGAAAAGTACCTACATCTCGATAGCTGATATCCAGGCACCGTTTTAGAGAAAATCCCACACATACTACCGAGTAGCCAATACTAAGGGCGTTTAATCACACTAATTTCATCATACCTGTGTGCTGCAAATGGACGGAAAACATAAATGCTGTGAGTGGATTTTGTCGCTTTTGAGTAGAGACTTAATTCAAAATATATGAAAACAAAACACAGCGACAAAGTGAGGAAACACAACCCTTGATCTGAAACTTTTATTATTTAGTTAGTCATCACACTAACCAGTGTGCCGAAAAAAGTATAGCCACACATACGCACTACCGAATGTGTAAATCCATGACACAGGGATCAAGAAGAAACACATTAGATCAATTGTAATCAAAATAATAATAAAGACAATTGTGTATTGCTGTATGTGAAATATGAACAGACATAATATTTACCAGTCCTTGGAACTTCAGTGAGTCATGTATTGAGCAAACAGATAGCCAAACAGGCCAAAAGTACTCAAACCTCATGTCCGTTGATTGATTTACTACAAACAATACTCCCCATATTATGGATATCAGGAGGTATTGGACGTAACTGAGGATAGTTGGAAATATTTTGAATACTTACGACAAAGATAGTAACTCGAATACCTTGCTTCGTTTACAGGAACGTTTCAGTCTGTTTAAGTCAACATTTTTACGACGAGTGGGCATAGCCACTTAAAGCAAACATCAGACGAAACTCAACAGCCTGATTCGTGTACTCGATTGGCCCGCTCAGTAAACTGTTCTTATGGCGAAGACATTGCAAAGAAAACTAGAAAATAATTTTCTAGCTCTAAAATCAACTTTCAACGTTCACAGTATTGCTAAATTTATACCGCAAAAAACATCTTATTGAGCTTCCAGTTTGCAATAATGTAATGAATTATTCTCAACTATTAGTTTAATGGTCTCAACACTTGACCTATCAACCAATCACAGTCAAGCAGAATTTATCACTTCTGTCACCTTTTTAAGCATGATAGGATGTAAGCTTGGTCCTGTGTATTTTCGCTGGCACTTAATGCTACTAGAAGGGTGATCTTATCCGCAACGCAACCATGTAAACTTAATGTATCGCACACTGTCATCTGTGCGTTCAAGTAACCACAGATTTTGTCATTTCATAATGTATTTTTAATTAAATAACTAGAATAATTTGAGTTTCAATGTGACCAGTTTTCCATATGGGACGTTTTCAAATGGTGGATTAAAATTCAGAGAGACGAGAGGCTAGGTCCCCTGTGTTAGTCCAGGTGGATGAGGTCTTTCAGTTTTTACAACTTTTTTGCATATGGATAGATGGAAATTGAACGATGCGATGAGGTAGGGAGCTTCACGTACTTATAATTCAATGGTCAGTTAACATGCAATTGATTCTGAGCTTGCGAACTTTTACGAAATGTAAACCTTCTGTCATAGAGGAAAAGAAAAGTGATGGAATACTAGATCCCAAACATTTACCACGTAATTGATTTGAAGACAAAAGGAAAGTCTTCTCTGATCCTTTTTTAAAACGCGTGGATTAGTTTAAACAAACCCACTTCAAATAGAATCACTACGATTACGAGGGTTAACCATGTTGTGTTTCTTCTGACCTCTGTCAACCGCAAGCCTTGGTTTTCGAGCTAGGGTTAGCTGCGAGTAAGCAATAATGAAACATACACTGGAAAGAAACCCTCGATATACATGGCTTTGCTAGCCTTCTACATTGGTGCTGACCTCATTGGTTTGGAGATGCCACACGTATTCGGAATTTGACAACACCTCAACCAGTAACACCTTATATAGTCGAAACATGCCAACCCAATCAAATCGGAAGTCAGAAGCAACGACGTTCAAAGATATATTTGACATGCTCTCGATATGTAAGGAAGTGATTAATTTACGAAAGCTAGTGGTCGTAGGAGATGTGAAGCACGGCGTACACAATCGTAATCTGGTGCGGGTGAGTAAGCGGGCGTCTTCACTTAGGTGAGATCAGTGAAACTAATGTGGTCAGCATCAAATGCCGAAGATTTACAGAGCTATCGGTTTAGGAGATTTATTTACGTCTACAGATCAATCAACCAGATTGTCGGGTAGTTCTAACCCTAGGACCTGTCCAGTCAGAAGTCGAAACTCAAGGGGTTTGTCGTCGGTAAACAACCTTCTGATAGCTTGACATGTTCAGCAGCGCCTGGTTGACTTTATTTATTATAAGGGGCCATGTTGTATAATAAGTTATTAAAACACAGGTACAATGAAAATTTCGATCCATCTTGAGCTTCATCGGTTTTTTTTCCAGCCGTCATAAGGGTGGAAGAAAGGACACATGATTACATTTCGAAGTACACTCGTACATGCGTAAAAACACAGAATAGGCAAATAAAGGAAAACAAACTTATATAAATGCGTTCTGATTACATGCAATAGCGTGAGAAAGATCTCGAAAAGACTTGTTTTTTTTGAGAAAATAAAAATATGCACATGTAAACAAACATAATATCAATAAAAAGTTTAGTTTCTTTTCCAGATGAAAGCATTAAAAAGATATGAGCATATTAAAAATACTTTGTTTTTGTTCGTTTGGAAATAATAACAAAAAATCGAGGCGAAACAAAGTGTCATGTGGTGTCATACGTGCAGTAATCCTTTAGGCATTCTGAAAGCCTTGAAGTGGTATTTGGCCCTAATCACACAATCCTCAAAGCTGGACACGAGACATCTGGGAAAATAGACAATCAACATTTAACGCGGAGAAAAACTCAACGATGGAGAAGGCGAAAATATTGAATTGAATTAGCTGGAATTAATCGGATGGCACGACTCAGCCTGGCAGGGATGCTCACTCTTGAGTGTTTTCTTATATTTTTTATTCATATTAAATATATTGTGTTTCCTCTAGCTTGAGTTTGTTCTCCACCATATACCTGTGATTGTTGCGACACGATGAGTTGGTGTAGACAGTGATGTGACTTCCACGTAAGATCTTATAGATTAGGCAGTTATATCATGACAAATCTACAATTTTAGGATTAAGTATATTATTAGGGCAGTACTAATAACGAAGTAGACCATAATTCTACAGCCTTGCCATTCCTCCAAAACGCGTTGTTTTAAGTCGTTTGTCAGATACCACCGACGTTTCACCGTGATTGTTGATTATCAGGTGAAGTAGAGCCATCGTGTGGCTTGCGTTTTTCTTGTGTATCGGAGGAAAGTCAACATGATTAGGGTCTCTTTCTGAATAATCGTCTCCTTGTGAATGTGTGTGTAGACCTCTCCATGTGCAAACTTTTGCGATATAACGCGCTGTCGTCCTGTTAAACGTGAAGTTATTCTTCGTGACTCCTTCTGCTGCAGATTTTATTGAACTTATGGATCTAGATGATATAATTACGATACACTTCTGTCGTAATTTTTGTTTTTCTCAGTTTGACACTGAGTTTCTATGATGCTCATCAATTGTAGTAATGTAAGGTTACGTCAGCTGTCGTATTTATTCATTCCCACTCCTTTTTAATGTGTTCCTTAGACTGACTGGACTCGTGGTTTTTTTATTGTGAATCGAAGCATAATTTTAGAACTCAAAACGCTCATTATCGTAATTAAGCTTGTGGTTTTCATTAATCTTGTCGATATTTTTAATATAGTTAAATACTACTTTGTGAACAAACTTCATATTGTCTGTCCTGAGATGACAGGTTACTACTCCTACACTAATAGAAACATTTGATTTCTGCAGCCGGTAAGTTTCTTGTACCTAACTAGTGTAATTCTACTCTGAGTCTGTTTGACAATAAATGGGTAGGTGACTAGGTGATAGGATTTGTAAGTTAATATGACAATTAGAAATATTTGAATTATAGTACGAACTAAGAATTCCAGAAATAATGCAATTGGATCAAGAAGTACTTGATAATCACGAACGAATGCACTGTATTTGGAATTCGAAATCAAGCACTCAACAAGTACAAATGAATCATTAATTCATTCTAACACCACTTCCACCACAGCTTAAATTGAAGTCTAAGTGTCTGTAATCATTATACGTCTTCTTCTTAAGTTCAATCTGTGTCTGTCCGACAATGTATTGGATAAAGACTCTGTATTATCTAGAACGTAATCATTAACATTAGAATTAACAACCGAAATTGGAACAGACTCACTTGGTTCCTGGAAGTGTATTTGGTCAACATGTCGTGTCAGTGTACTTAAGTCATTGATATCTAAAATTCGCACCATATATTTTACGACATTCTTCAGCACAATCCCTCTGGATAGTTGAAGATCACTTCCACGATAATATGTAACTTCAGCAAACTTCAAAGATCCCATATTCGACCGAAGAACTCTTCCTTTTAATAGCTTTAATGGAGCCCCTTTCGTCACAGAATATCTAGCATTTTTATATCGCAGTAGAAAAGTATCTACTCCCCTCTCCAGCCCATTAAATGTTGAGGGGGCTATAGAATCAATAGGAGTTTTCAATGTCTTGACAACATTTTCTTCCTGACCATTAGAACAAGGATTTCTGTGAGCAGTAAACAGATGTGTACACCCCATACCATTCAAACAGGCAGTGACTGCATCCGCAACAAGATGAGAACCATTATCAGTCACTAACACCTTGGGAACCCGTTCGCGACTAAGCACCTTTTTTAATGCTTGGATTGTAAAGCCAGAATTTGGTGAAGTTGTGAAAAAGACTTCAAGCCACTTTGAAAAAGAATCAATGACTACTAGTGCATAGTATTTGCCAAGAAACGGACCAAAATAGTCTGCATGAATCCTCTGCCAGGCCTCAGACGATACTAGCCACGGAGTATACTTCGAATGCTGATTTTTCGACTTGTGACAGTTCTCACAATTGTTTGAATTTATCTCTGGCCATCAACATGTGGGCCTTGCCAAGGACTTCATTTTCTCAACACCTAAATGACCACTATAAAGATCTTCAAGAACAGATTTACGCAATGAAGGAAGAATGACAACACGATCATTTAAACACAGAATACCATCAGGAGTAGTAGAAAGCTCATCCCGCTTTGAAAAATAGATAGGGAATCTACGTTTCAAATTAGCATTCCAACCTTTCCTTATAGCACTGAGTATACATCCAAAATATCTGCGAGTTTCTCTAATGAGATCTGAACGTCTCACTGGTAAAGGTTGCACTAACAAACAATCCGAAGTATTAATAGGTTTATCTTGTAATGACTGTCGAGAAATGTAATCAACATGTTGAATCTGTTTGGCACTTCTGTGCTGAACCGTATAGTCATATGCACACAAAGCAATACTCCATCGCTGAACCATAGCAGCTGAGGAACGTGCTAAGGATTTTTCGGGATGATAAATAAACTTTAAAGCTTCATGATCAGTAACAAAAGTGAATTTCTTTCCGAATAAATATTTATGAAGTCTTTTAACAGCCCAAAACACAGCTAATGCTTCTCGCTGAGTCTGTGAATAACCTTGTTCAGTAACAGTAAGTTTGCGTGAAACACAAATAACTGGTCTACCTTCCTGTTCCAAAACTGCACCAATTCCCACAGGTGATGCATCAGTAATAAGCACAGAATGTACATTAGGGGAGTACGTTCGAAGAACAGCATCACTTTGAAGAAACTTCAGCAGACTTCGTAAGCATGACTCTTGTTCCTCACTCCATTTGAATGAATTGGATGTTAAAATATTAAATAAACAATTTGCACGACAAGA